TGTAATTTAGTTATCTATGGCTGCAGAACAAATTATCCCCCAAATTTAGCAGCTTAAAATTACAAACATTTATCTCACAGTTTCTGTGGGTCAGAAATCTGGGTACAGATTAGCTGAGTGCTAATGCAGTCTCTCAGGAAGTTGCACACGGAGCATTGGTCAAGTATTCAGGCTCATCTGAAGGCTCAACTGGAGAGAAATTTGTTTCCAAGCTTACTCCTCAGGACAAGTGCGTGAGAGTAGAGAGAATTAAAAAGCTATAGTTTTTTTTTTTAATCAATTTTATTTTTTCCAGTAGTATCGGGTTCACTGCAAAATTGAGCAGAAGGCCTACATTGGCACATTATTATCACCCAAAGTCCATAGTTTACATTAAGATTCACTCCTGGTATTGTACAGTTTATGGGTTTGGACAAATGCATATTGATGTGTGTTCTCTATTATAGTGTCACACGGAGTAGTCCCAGTGCCCTAAAAATCCTCTGTGCTCCACCTATGCCTCCTTTCCTCCTCCAAACCCCTGGCAACCACTGATCTTTTTACTGCCTCCATAGTTTTGCCTTTTCCAGAATATCATACTGTTGGAATCATACAGTATGGAGAATTTTCAGATTGGCTTATTTCACTTAGTAATATGAATTTAAGTTTCCTTCATATCCTGGCTTGATAGCCCTTCTTCTTCTTCTTTTTTTTTCTCTAAAGCACTGAATAATAGTCCATTGTCTGGATGTACTGCAGTTCATTCATTCATTCACCTACTGAAAGGCAGCTTGGATGCTTCCAATTTGGGGCAATTATGAATAAGGCTGTTATAAACATCTGTGCAGAGCTTTTCATATAGACATAAATTTTCAACGTTTGGGAGTAAATATCAGAGTGAAATTGCCGGATTGAATGGTAAAAGTGTGTTGAGTTTTTTTAAGGAACTAACTGCTATCCCTTTAGCAATAAATGAGAGTTTCTTATTGCTCCACATCCTCTCCAGCATTTGGTGTTGTCTGTGTTCTGGATTCTGGCCATTGTAACAGGTGCATAGTGGTGCTGTAGTCTTTTAAAACTTAATCTGAGAAGTGATGTTCCATCACTATGCTGCACTCTGCCAAATTTGTCAGAATTGAGTAACTAAATCCAATGGATATCCTAGGAGAGGGGATTACACCAGGGTGAGACAGAGATTATTGGGAGAGTCTGGAAGGCTGCCTACCACACAGCACAAACACCAGGCATAGGAAGGCTGATGTGGCTATATTAACATCTGCAAATGTAGACTTCAAGACAAAGTGTATTACTAGAGGTAAAGGGAGAGATTTCGTAATCATAAAATGGTCAATTCACCAAGAAGACATAACAATCCTAAAAAGGTATATAACAGAGCTAATAACAAGCCTCAAAGTACATAAAGCAAATGTTAACAGAACATGGGAAGCAAGGGATAAATCAACAATCAGAGTTTGAGATGTTAACACTTCTCTCTCAGTAATTGATAGACTAAATAAGGAAACAATCAGTAAGGATGTAGAAAATTTGAGCGATACTATCAATCTACCTGATTTAATTGGTATGTATAGAAACGATATCTGCAATTGGACAATGTACATTTTTTTCAATGTAGAAAGCACATATAATATTCAGCAAGACAGAATATATGCTAGGCCACAGAATAAATCTCTGACTACAACAAAATTTAATTAGAAACCAATAGCAATAAGATATCTAAAAACATCCCCAAATTTTGGGAAATTAACAGCATTCTAAATAATTTATGGTCAAAACAGAAATTACAAAAAAAATGAGAAAATATGCTGAATTGGATAATAATAAAAGTACAACATGCAAAAATCATGGGATGTAGTTAAACAGTGCTGAAGAAAATTTGCAGTTCTAAATGCCTACATTAGAAGAAAGAAATATGTGAAATCAATTATCTAAGCTTACATCTTAGGAAGCTAGAGAAAGAATTAAAAAATAAGAAATTTTAGAAAGCTAGAAAAAAATTAAAAAGAAACTAGAAAAAGAATTAAAATTAAAGTACATGGAAGAAAGAAAATTTAGCAAATAACGGAAACCAAGAAGGTAGAAAATGGACAGAAAATAAAGAAAAATCAACAAAGCCAAAAGTTGGTTCTTTGAAAAGATTAATAAAACTGCTCAATCTCTAGCAAAGTTGATCAAGATTTTTAAAAAAAGAAGACAAATTGCTAATATCAAGAATGAAAGAGAGGAGATCACTACAGATCCTACAGTCATAAAAGGGTATTAAAAGGATATTGTAAAAAATCTTTACACCAGCAAACTTGACAACCAGGATGAAAGGGACAAACTCTTTGAAAAATACTACTTACCAAAACACACACAAAAAGAAACAAAAAATTCAAGTAGCCATTAAAAAAATGCTATTCTAATTAAAAAACACCTTTCCAAACATGAAAAATATCCTCAAGTCCAAATGAATTCTATCAGTCATTTAAGATGGAAATAATACTAATAATATGCAAATTCTTTCAGAAAATAGAGGGGGAGAAATCACACTCAACTTATTTAATGACTTTAGCATTACTCTGGTATCAAAACCTACCAAGCACATTATAAGAAAAGAAAAATATAATTCAATATCCCTCATAAATATAGATGTAAAAATCCTAAACAAAATATTAGCAAATCACATCTAGCAATATATAAAAAGAACAATGCTTCGTGACCAAGGGGTTTTGCCAGTTTGGCTTAACATTCAAAATTATCCAATATAATTCACACTTTCAGAATAAAAGAGAAAAATCATATGACCATCTCAAGAAATGCAAAAATATTTGACAACATTCAACATTTGATTAAAAACTTTGAAGAGGTTAGGAATACAAAGCATAAATTTCTTTCTTTCTTTCTTTCTTTCTTTCTTTCTTTCTTTCTTTCTTTCTTTCTTTCTTTCTTTCTTTCTTTCTTTCTTTTTCTTTCTTTTTTTATTTTAGACAGTCTCACTCTGTCACCCAGGTTACAGTGCAATGGTGGCATCGTTGCTCACTGCAGCCTCAAACTCCTGGGCTCAAGCAATCCTCCTGCCTCGGCCTCCTGAGTAGCTGGGACTACAGGCACATGCTATCACATCTGGCTAATTTTTTCTATTTGTAGTAGAGACAGGTGTTGCTGTTGCTGAGGCTGGTCTCAAACTCCTGACCTTAAGTGATCCTCTGACCTTGGCAGCCCAGAGTGCTAGGATTACAGGTGTGAGCCACTGAACCCTCTCAAAAATCTTTTATTTGCAGATGATATAATAGTGTACATAGAAAACCCTACGCAATCTACAGAAAACCTACTAAAATTAGTTTGTGAAGTCAGTAAAGTCATAGGACATAAGGCCAATATATAAAAATCAATCATATTTTAATATACTACCAAATGGAATGAAAATGAAATTAATAAAATGAAATGAAAATGAAATTTCAAAAATACAATTAACAATGGCATTAAAGACATGAAACACTTAGGAAAAATTTTAACAAAACATATGCAAAATATGAGAACTATAAAACATTGGTGAGAGAAATTAAAGAAGTCCTAAATAAATGAAGAGATAAACCACATTCATGGACCGGAGATTTAACATGCCCATTCTCCTAAATTGATCTGTAAATTCAAAGAATTCCCATTTTAAGTCTCAGCAGGCTTTTTTTTTTTTTTTAGAAATTGACAAGATTGTTCTGAAGTTTATATCAAAATATAATGACACTACAATTGCCAAAAATAATCTTGAAAAAAACCAAGTTGGAAGACTTACACTACCTGATTTCAAGACTTATTATGTCTGATAATAGGGATAAAAGATCAGTGTATATCCAGTGGAAATTAAGCAACTCTGGATAATAACAAAAATCTTAACTGAAAAATAAAAAACCACCTCTAGTTTTTTTATAAAGCATTGTGCCACCAATGAGTCCCGTTGATAACTTACATTTGACAAAACATGTTACTACCAATAAGACAGTGTATCAACAATATGTAAGAAAATAAATATAAAGTTAGAATATTCCTAATAACCTTGAGAGGAAGAAATACACCAGCAGTCAGTAGACCATTAAAAGAAAAACAGGAGGTTAAAGAAATAGAAGCAGACATTAGAGTTAGTTTCAGAGGAGAAACTGACTCTTAGAAATAAACAAAAGCTAGCAAATTGATGGGCATCCATTACAAGTGCAATTACAGAGAAATGAATGGACCATTACTTCCAGAAGAGAGTGGAAGAGACATCTTCTTTAGGAAGATGCTAAATCCTCCTGATTTTATCTTGATCCCTGGGATTCAGGAATGGTACCTCAATTTTCCTGTTGTTCAAGTTCAGGAACATGAGGTTCATCCTTGACATTTCTCTATCCTCACTCCCCATGACTAATCATTACCAACTATTATTCATTCTAGCTCAAAAATCAATCTTAAAATCATCTACTTCTCTCCATCATCATTGTCCAAGTCACCATCATCTCTCACCTGGATCTAAATTAGTCTCCTTTCTGCATCTCTTGCTCTGTTGTAAACCCCTCTAATCCATTCGCCACACAGCAGCCGGGGAGGTCTTTGTCGATGTATACTGGGTCTGATCACCCTCCTGGTTGTACCTCTAATGTCTTCCCGTTACACTTGATGTATGCAATCTTTAACTTGGCCTAGAAAGTCCTAAATGATCTGGCGCTCGCTTGCCTTTCCTGATGTGAGTTCTAGGAGAGAAGGGCCTTCCTCTGGTTTGTTCGCTGCGTTACCCCAGTGGCTAGTACCTTGGTGCATCATGGGTGCTCAATATAGGTTTGCTGAATGAATGAATGCTGGTTAATCATGCCCCCCAAAGTGTTAGCACTCATTTCTTGAGGGAGATTATCTTGCTAGGAAATCACAGCCCTTTCCTAACAAATGTTGAGATATGTTAATTTCAGAAATATATACTTTTATTGTCAACTGTCAACTGTCACTCAGGTACCCTCAGAAAGCCAAGAAGCAGACACCAGTTTCTCTACCTGTTTCCTTCGAGATCGCACACGTAGGTCACCACTGGGGACCAGTCGAAAGCCTCTGGCTCCTTCTTCAGCCACTTCTCCAGCTCCTGCAGGTTCTGGTCCGTGTAGTCCGAGACGATGATCTCCTTGAAGGACTCGCACGCGGAGAGGAGCTGATAGATGGTGGGGCCGGAGCCGATGTCAATCAGGAGGTCTCCCTTCACGCCATCTGGGTAGGAGGGGGCGATGAGGGAGGGGCACCAGGCATACCACGTAGCAGGATGGGAAGAGCTCAGTTTACATTCTCTTCACTGGGATTGGGCTGGAGACCCCAAAGACAGACCACCGCTCTACTTAAAACTCTTCCTTCAAAATATTTTTTAAAAAACATCTTTTTAAAAAATAAAAACCTGTAATTTACATCACAGTGATACAGAAGTGTATATCAAAGAAAACACAAATACCAAAAATACTAAAAATGGCTCACTTGAATTAAATAAAGCCCCTCAGTTCGAAAAAACCTTGAACGTGCATGAAACGAAAAGTCGAAGAGAGAAAAAGAAACCATCTTTTCATTTTCTATTCCCCAATCCAGGGTGGAGGCATGTTGTGGGGCTATTTTCAGGTCTAGGAGAAAGAAAAAAGATCTACATCTGGTGTATAGACTAGTGATCCAGAAAGGCTGTCACACAGAGAATGTAGAAACTACTAAGGAATACTTTCAGGGAAAGTTAATTTTTTTAAAAAAAAAAAATTAGTTTATGTAATGTCTTTCTCCAAAAAGCACCCAGTTCTTCATATATTGGGAGGTCTTGATCTCATGCATATTCACAACATTCTCTTGAGCTGGGATCTGAATAGTACTGTATTAGTATCTCCATTTTTTAAGTGGTCCATTGAGGTTAAAAGGCTCTCTCAAGTCACCTAGTGAATCAATGCAGACTCAAGGACAACACTTGGGTCCTCTAGTTTCCCTTTTACGTAACCAAATGAGATAATGGATATAAAAGCATTTTGTGAACTGTGAAATAGCTAAACCAGCGTTGGTTTTTATCTTAGTTAAATAAATGGGTGATGTCAAAAGGGCTGGCAAATAACCAGGACTACACACAAACCCGGTTGTGCCCTGTGACCCTCTCTACATGGCTTATATTTAGAAGGGAGACACACAGACAGACACTTACCTAGGCAGAATATCTTGAAAAGATTTTTCAGAAGATGCCTGAGAATCTGGTTTTCTGCAGTGTGTCTGGACCCAAAGCTGTAATATTTCTCTAGGTAATCTCGAGGGTTAAAATGGCTTAGATAAGTGTCCTTGGAGGTGAAGCCAGATTCCATTGTGTCTCCCTTCTGTGCCACTGGCCTCCAGCCCTCCTTCCCTCTCTTCCCACCCCGCAGAAGTTGTCTGCCTGAGTTTCAGGCTAGCAATCCTCTTTCCATAAGTTCAGCAGCCCACCCCTTATAACAGATGTTTGGTTAAACACTAACCGAGAGAAATAGACCACAAATATTCCTGGCTGTTCTGGGAAGTGATGAAATTCCTGGGGAAGAGAGCCTAGGAGAAAGGGGTGGGTAGTAGAGGGAGTTGCCACGACCTGTATGCAATGCTCAGCCAAGAGGTGAAGGTCAGATGCCAGGACTGCAGACAGCAGGAATCACTTGGGCTCATCAGGAAAATTATTTAACTCATCATAGAAGAACCCCTCAGCTCAGAGAGACACACCATCTCCCAACAGCACCATCAGTCAGTCTTCTCATTCTTGCAGTGATTCCCTCCAGGAAAGACAGTCACAAAGAATGGTTTACATTTAAGCAAGTAAAAGGAAGAAAAGAAAAGAAGGGAAAGATGAGGACAGGAAATGTGTTCAGGGCTAAGGAATGTTGGCTAAAGAAGGAATCTCAGATGAAGTCTGGAAAGAGTAATTTAAAACACCTGGACCAGGCTTTCTGTAGAGTCTAGTCCAGCCAACAATCCTGAAACCCTCTGCTCAAGCTCCGACAGTTCTTCTGTCCTGCCCCACGCCTCTGCAGCTTCGCCCAGCTCTGCCATGGCTCAACCCTTGGCAAGCGCCTCCTCCCCAAGACTCCCCGCTCCTTTCAGTTAACCAAGACCCTGACAGTTCCTTCAAAGTGAACTTTAAGCCTTGACCTCGTTTAAGAATTCTTTAAATCCCTTTCTCTGAACTCATATTGCCCTTACAATTCATTCCGCCTAGCCGAGAGCTTGATTTTGTGGTGTGATCTATTTGCTCCTGGTTTTTTGTCTGTGTCCATTTTTCTTCCCAAACTAAATTTTACATATGTGATAAACTAAATCACTATGTCCTTGAGATTAAGGACTATAGGTCAGTTTTTTTTATATCCCCTACTCTACTTCATGGTTGGTCCACCTAGTAGGTGTTTAAAACATTGGTTGGTTGATTGACTGTTGTCATATTGCATAAAATGCAGTTGCAGTGAGTGCCCTGTATTCCGTGAATGATGACTTAGCAAGAGCCCATTGGGTTACAGGCACAGGAACACACTCAAAGAATCCCATGTAAAAAGGTAGTTATTAATAGGAGAATATAATGGAAACAAATTTCAAGGCATCTAAGTGGGTCTCATGAACCAAAATATAGTTAGGGAGCTTATTTATCTTTCTTTTTCTCTATTTGCTTTTGCTTCTCTTTAGAGGGTTAGAGGCCTCTATTCTCTGCAAACTGGCTTCATCTTTTGCTCATTCACCGCACATGACTCCATTCTGGCCATTCCAAGTGGTGGCTTCTGCACCTGAACTTGCCTGCTAAGTGGTACTGCAATAGGGTAGGGAGAGTAAAGGAAATCTGCATGGTATTACCAACCACCTATCACAAGAAGTTGTAGATGGGGCAGGCAAATTGTCCCAGACTACTGCAACTGTTGGATCTTACAAAGTCAATTTGCAGACTTGAAGGATGTACAATCAAAGCAAAATGTCTTCGTGAAGTGACCCGGGGCACTGCTGCTGCCCTATGGACACTTCCAGCTTCCACCGACTGCCCCAGTAATGCAGCACAGAAGAAAGCATCCAGAAAGGCAAAAGACCCAAGATGTTATCCTGGTTTGCCATCGACAATGTGTAGAACAGGAAGTTAGAAAAACTAACTGTTGAGACTCCTAAGTCTCATTTTTGGTAGATAAAATGAGGATAATAGTATCTATTTTACTGTTCAATTTAAAGTAATGAGAAATTTAAATTATAGCTTCCCTTATATTGAATCCTTACCCTGGGAAATATGCCCTATTCTTACTCATGGGTCGATTTACCAGGACACTGTAGAAACAGTGGTTATATAGTTTAGATGTGATCTTGATATTATACCCTATGCCCCTTACCCCATCATTGATTTTTTTCCCTACCCTTTCCAGAAGCTCTCAAGATTTATAGTCAGAATCAGATTTTACTAGAGATAGAAATCTGCTCCCTTGGCTGGACGTGCTGGCTCACGCCTGTAATCCTAGCACTCTGGGACGCTCAGGTGGGCAGAGTTCGAAACCAGCCTGAGCAAAAGCAAGACCCCATCTCTACTATAAATATAAAGAAATTAATTGGCCAACTAATATATATAGAAAAAATTAGCCGGGCATGGTGGCGCATGCCTGTAGTCCCAGCTACTCGGGAGGCTGAGGCAGAAGGATTGCTTGAGCCAGGAGTTTGAGGTTGCTGTGAGCTAGGCTGATGCCACAGCACTTACTCTAGCCTGGGCAACAAAGCGAGGCTCTGTCTTAAAAAAAGAAAAAGAAAAGAAAAGAAATCTGCTCCCTTGTAATGGCCCTCTACCCACTCTTATGGAAATGTTTGTTATAATTATGAATATACAAATACACATATGAAGGAAGAAACAAAAGGGCAAGAAGAAAGAAAGAAAGGAGGAAGGAAGAAAGCATGCTATTTCCGCGTAGTCTGGGAATTTGGTTCACTGGTGGCTGCTCTTCTGATTTAGTCTGCTGGTTATGCATTTGGTTCATTATCCCAGAGCATGACCTCATGAGAAAATACTGCTACAATACTTAGGGTGCAAAACTCAACATAGTAGGGCACTTTCTTCCAAAATACCACACTCTAGACTCCAGAGGTACTAGATCGAATCTGTTGCTAGAATATACTACACAAACTAAAAGTATAAACACCAGCATTGCTTACATTTGTTGGAAAAAGTTTCCACATATTAACATACCAGTTTCTAGTAATATATCTGATTAGCTGTCAAGACATACCTTCTTCTTGAAAGCCACTAAAAATGCTAAATGGAGACATAGATACAAAACATTTTGTATATTAATATATCAGCAGCAGAGGAGTTTAATAGAATGTTAGACATAATTGAAAGGATTTGCAAATTGGAAGATAAGCTAAAAGAAATTATCCAAAATGTAACAGAGGAGAAAGAGAAACGGAAAAAATGAAAGAGAAAGGAGTATAGATGTAGAGTATGGAGTAGAAAAGTCTAAAATAAGTCAAGTTGGAGTTCTTGATGGAGAGGAGAGATAGAATGGATCAGACTAATATTTGAAGACATAAAATAGAGAACTTTCCAGAACTGATAAAAAAAATACTCTATTAGTTTGAATCCAGTCAGGAGTCAGAAATCACATCAGTAATTTTAGCTGAAAAATTTTAATATAAAATTTAATATAAAGAATTATTAACTAAGTAAAAAGTGGTTAACTACTAAGAGGATAAAGGAGGACTCTAAGTGTAACAGAGGTGGCAAATGCAGAAAGTCACTAGGGCTGATAGAACACAGAAACCAGGGAAGACTTAGAAACTTAGAGGATGAGCCCACAGTGCTGAGTGTCAAAAAAATCTCTGATGAGAAAGCACAGCTGCTGCAGGAATGCTGGCCACCTAAGGAACCCAGGAAATGCCCTGGCACTGAGGGACTAGCCATGCTCTGAGTCACTAGTGTGATGAAGATAACCATTGCTAGAGACTGCTCACAGAATCACAAGCCCACAGCCAGACCTCAGGGGGAAAGACCCAGAAAATAGTAAGTCTCTTCCTCCTCCTCCAACTTTGCATGCCTCTTCAGAATCCCTTATTGGTAGAATCTAACATAGAGGCAGATGGCAAAGGAGAATTGTGTTAGCAAAGTCCAGTTTGTAAATTTTCCCAATTTGTAATTGGAGGATAAGCTAAGAAAATTATCCAATATGTGGCAGATGGAGAAAGAGAAATGGAAAATATAAGAGAAAGCTAAGAGACATAGAGTAGCTCTCACATTACACAATATCGAAAGGTGGGTTAGAGCTATGAAGCAATGAATTAGTAACTGGTACAGATATCAATACATGAAATCAATAAAAGGTAAGGTTTACTGAGCCCTTATTTTGTGCAGGTACTGTTTTATGTGCTTTACACATACTAACACATTTAATCCTTGTAACAATTCTATGAAGGATGACATTTAGAAGTCCAGGGAATCCTAAGCAAGATATGTGAAAAACAATTCAGTCCTAGGCATTTTACTGATAAAACCACAACACCAAAGACTATGAGAAGATGTTAAAAACATCTAGAGAAAAAAACCAGATGGCCTTCACAAGTGGCAGTTACACTAAGAGCTCACTTTTCAGGAAAACAAAGGAATCCAGAAGACAAAAGAACATTGTCAAGGTGCTAAAACAAAGTAACTATCAACTTAGAATTCTATAACCAGAAAAATTCTTTCAAGAATTGGGACAAAATAAAGAAATTATCAGACAAAAACTAAAAGTTTGCTACTAGTAGGTCCTCTCTAAAGGAAATCCTAAATGACATATTTCAGACAGAAGGAATGTGAATCCCCATAAAAGGTCCAAGATGCAAGAAGGAATGAAAAATAGCTAAGGAGGCTAATATGTGGGTGATTCTAATAGACATAAAAAAATAATGTCATGTGTGATTAAAAATAAGCAATATGGAATAAAAATGCATAATAACAATAGCCTGTAAGTTTCAGGCTTGGAATACATGGGGTTAGAGTGTTCTGGATCTTTGTATTGTCCATGGAGAGTAAAAGCATACATTATCTTTAGACTTTGAAAAGTTAACTATACATTATAAATTTGCCAACATTTTTCTACTAAGCACCTTAGATTCTCTGCCTGAAGCCTTTCTCTGGTTGCAGGAGTATGTTCAGCTTCTATGTAGAACAGGCCAGGGAGTTAATGCAGCAACCCTCAGTCCCTCAACATGTGACAGATCAGCACTGATGAAAAATCATGTCAGCTTCCTTGTTCTTTGGATAGGACAATTCTGAAAAATGTTCTACGTATCCTCCCAGAGGTCCCCAGAAGGACTGAACCCCAGTTGGCCCACATAATTCACCCTGTTTTGGCTTTCTTTCTTTCTCTTTCTCACATCCCCATTCCCTCACCAGTGCTTAGTGGGATCCAAAGTAAAATACTTACATTCCAATTTTAGACACCACAAAAATATAATCAAGCGGTGTTAATTGCTAAATCAGTAGAGGAGGAGAAATGGGATGACAAA